TGGTTGCAAACTTTTCTGCTGTGATTACGCGATCTGACTTCTCGGGTTCGGAAGCGCGTATTTACTGTTACGGCATTCTCGCTCGTAGTGCCCCGATTTTCCGCATTTATAACATTGTACGGCATTCTTTGTTGATCGCGACGGCGCTCCCTCGTAACGGTTTCGATTTGTGTAATTACTAGATCGCGTTGTAGTTGTGCCCTTTATTTTTCTTCGGCGGTTGCGGCCGTTATTGCCTCCTGCAGTGTTTGGTAATTTCGAGAACGAATAAGAAGTTGTATCTCGTCGCGTAGTCCTATTTGGAAATTTTGCAAGGCTTGTTTTTGTATAGTACTTAGTATGATCCGCTTTGCAATGGGGGAGTGATCTTCTCCCTCCGTCATGGATTCATATAACTCCATAGCTAAGGTATCGACGCGCGTTCCGAAAGCTTGCGCGCCTTCATTGCCTTTTGTTTTAAGGAATTGAACTCTATCTGCAAATACGTAGTACTTCGCCTACTCTGATATGTACATTCCAATTGTCGCTTGAGTTCGTCGTATGTCTGTATGTCTCGCGTTTGAAAATCTAACATTGCTTTGCCTTTGAGTTTCGTGCATAGGATAGCTCCCACCAATCCTCTTTCGTTAGCAGGGTGTATGTTTGTCATGGCGTACGTGCATGTGCTTAGGAATTCCTGTAATTTATGTTGGGCCGTCCCGTCAAATTCCGGAATCATTTGCCGTGCTTCTTTTAACGATAAAAAAGGCTCCTGCGGGCCTTGTCGATGTCTAGCGTCACTCTCTGTTCGTCCGTACACAACGTTATATTTTTTGTCGTCATTGTCGGGGTCTCGCGTTTCTCTCTCGCGGGTGTGTGTGTCCCGGCGGATTCGACCTCGTTCGTCCGCGTATGTGCTATTATCACGAATTTGTTCGCGTAATATGTCTATTTCCGTGAGCATTTCCTACGTAGTTCTCGCATGCCTCTCATTATCTCACGTAGCATAGGTTATCTATTCCGGCCTCCCTATAATTAGGAGTTTCGCGCACCTCGATTTCGTCAATGCGTCTATCTATGTATCGTCTGGTATCGCGGGGGTTAGTTGTTCCTATTTCGCTATTAGGGGGTGGTGCATGTACGTCGGCTTCCACCAGTCGAGTATTGTCGCGAGCTATTGTACCGTGTAGACGGTCAATCTCGCGGTCGATGGCACCCTCGGACACATCCATGCCACCGTTAGGCGGTGTTCGCAGCATGTCCTGATACTCGCTCGGATCGAAAATACTACTATCGTATGATGTAAGCAAGATTCCCCGTGTTGTGACCCGTTGCTAGGAGTTCGTCTCACGCGTTCGTTACTTTCTTTTCTTAAATTTTACCGGTGTTGGTTTCCCTTCTTCAAATAAACTTTCGTCAAAAATGTTAAACGGAAATTCGCGTTCGGCTTTCCCGTGAGTATATGATTCGGAGTCGCTCTCTCCTGAATAATATGCTTCTAATTTTATCCGCACTTTTCCGAGGTTTTCTAAGGTTATCGGTAGTGCTTTGATTGATCGTGCGGCTGAGTCGCTATGTAACCACGAATATTCGCTATCGCTTGTCGGGGTGTTTCGCTTTCCTCCGACATTCATGCAGTATGTATAAAAGTTTGGTTCGGACTTACATTAATGTTACTATCGCTCGCTTGCTGACGCTGCAGATCATCGCTCGGCAGTGTTGATACGGCTGGCGGTCCGGTGTCGTAAGGTGATCCTGCGGGTCGCTGTACGGTGCGATGCGTTGTCCGTGTTGTCGTAGGTCGTCCTTAGGTGATGGCCTACTTCCCGACGGCTGATGCGTTGTCCGTGTGTGTGTGTCTTTTTGTACGTACGGCACGCTGCTGCTTATACGTCGGCTTCTGTTTTGTTTGTTTCCCGTCGATTATTATGTTCGACGTGCCTGATTATTAATACTGCTGTATTTTTCAGGTCTTCCTCCGAGTAGTTCCTGACGGTCCTTCGGCGCAATCCCACCGCTGCCACCAAATGTTGTGTGCCTCGGGAGAGACACTTAAGGGTCGCGCCAAATTGGGATGGGAATCCGGGGCGTCAGGACTTGTCGGGTGTTTGTAGAGAAATGCACTACACTTTTTGTATTAAAATCTTTATTCAATTTCACCAACCACTTGGTCTTTATTTTATTTCACTATCAATACACTGAAGCTTTACGAGTGTGCGGCACTGACTTTATATTACTCCGCGTATCGCGCACAACTGCGAGTCGATGCTAAGTGCGCGCGCGGTTAGCGAGATCGTGGTTAGAGCGATTATTTGTGTCTGCGACTGAGCGAGTTGTCGCGTCTCTACTCTCTTTTTATATCGTTGTTTTTGGAGTTTTCCCGATCGGAAGGGGTGCCTGGCAACAGGTTCCCCGGTCGAGAATCTAGGTGCAAGCGAAGCAGATTCAAAGTCCTTCTGCTTTGCTTGCACGTTGACCAATTTCTGTTCCGCGTATATCTCGCATTGTATGCGTTTTTAACGCGGTCATTATCTGTCGTAATTCTGATTTCGCGTATACCTCGCATTGTATGCGTTTTTAACGCGGTCATTATCTGTCGTAATTCTGATTCCGCGTATACCTCGCATCGTATGCGTTTTTTAACGCGGTCATTAGCTGTCGTAATTGCCGATTCGCGATACCTCGCATCGTATGCGTTTTTTAACGCGGTCAGTGTCTGTCGTAATGCAGATGCAATACGAGTACCCATTTCTTAATATTAGTTACTCTTTTAACAGTTATATCTATTGTATATCTTTGGGGGATATAACAGTAATTTGTCGCTTACTAATTAATTATTCTCCGGAATATTAGCTTCGAGAGTACGGAAGCGTTACTCGAGACCGGATATCGAGCATAAAAATAAAAGCGATTAAATCGAGCTTAAAAGTAAAAAGCATATATAACAGTACTTTATATATTTATATAATTTATATTAAATTTTTACAATTTTCTTTTTTTTCTTTAGTACAAAAGGCGGTGGAGCGAGCAAACACTGCAGAAAATCGCAACGATATTTTCCTGGAGACGGAGGAGGGTAAAGAGGAGGGTGAAGAGGAAGAGCATCGACACCAGCAACATCAGCAACAACAGCAATATCATCAATATTGGCAGGTCGATGATCGATTTAATTATATACATTAATTAGGGAAAACTGCGCGGCAGTTTAGTTGAAGATTCGGGATAGTCGGGAGAAAAGCGAGTTTCGCGATTCGACAGTTACCTGAAGGCGGGGGGGGATATTTACCGGTCTTTGGAAAATGCGTTTCGCGAAATTCACGCGTATGCAATAAATTCGAGTGAACGGAGATTACGTGGTTTATCATTCGATTCGCCGAATTTATCGCATGGCCCCGCGAGATTATCCTTTCGTCCGGTGCGCGATTTGACTCACGAAGATATTCGGGGCCTCGTGACCGGGTAGCACAGAGTGCGGGAGGACTTGATATCGCGGAGCAGTTTAACATACGCATTTTCAACATCGCTGTTCCTTCAGGTCGCGGCCGCGCGTTGCATTAACGCAAGAAAATATCGCAAAACGCTCAATAGTCGAAATAAATAATTTCGACAATTGTGTTTCCGCGCTCCCCTCGTAGTAACGCAAACTTATTGCGAATGCGGTAATATACGGGGGAATTGCACGAGAAATGGAATAAAGTAAGACACCCGCAATCGAAATTACAACGCGAATGGGCGTTGAAATTAACTAGAAAAGCGGAGTAATAATTCTCAAAGAAAGTTGCGGGATTCATGAAATTGAGCGTTTTTAGCGATATCTCGCCGCGGTCAATGTCGCTATTGTTGTATATAATTTTATTACTTTCGGTCACGGCGCGAAACCGTACTATGACGGTACAGCGATACTCGCTTTTCTCGGGCGTGAATCCTTTTATCGACTAAATATTATGTATTATGAGAATTCACGCCATTTTAACCCTATATTAAATTTAAAAGCCGCTGCGGGTTCTCGTAATTTTTGTGTAACGTGTAATGTAGACTTCCGGAACGATAAAGGTGGCGGTCACCGGTGCTCGAATAAATGTTCGCGATGTTTTACCGCGCCACCGTGCAAACACTCCGACGACGCGCGAATAGTAAAATGTGACGCGTGCGATCGGACGTTTTTCGGTGCTTTGTGTTTCGAGCGTCATCGTAGGGAAAAATCTTATGACGGTAAATCGCTCACGAGTGTTTGTAGCGTCATACAATTTTGCAATAAATGCGGATGTATAATTAAAGCGAAAGCGAAGCACGAATGTGGCGTTTCTTACTGCAGATTATGCCATTCGGAGCAACCTCGAAATCATTTGTGTTATATGAGACCTTTTCACAACGACGTTAATTCTTCTACCGAGCCGTCGTCGTCGACACATCCTCCGGAGGTAGAAGCGACGACAGTGACGGTAGATGTATCCGTCGAGGAAAAAAAAAGCATAATTGATAACGAAGAAGTGAGCAAATCGGCATTAACAGATAGAAAGAACGCGTAGCATTCGTGTTTTATGATTTTGAAACACGGCAGGACAAGACGCTCGAAGGTACGACGTCCGTAAAAAGACACATCCCGACACTTTGCATCGCGCATCAAATTTGCGAAGCGTGCGCGCAAAACAATGATATCTCCGTGCGTTGTTGCGAAACCATGAAATCGAAAGAGTGCGAATGCTTTCTCGCGTGGCATACGAACATGCGGTTAAAAAACACCGTGTTTGATTTTCAACGCGAGATAGTACAATATTGCCGTACCGATGTTGATATACTTCGACGAGCGTGCATGGCGTTTAGAAAAATTTTTATAGCTCGCGGTAATGTATGTCAGTTCGAGGAATGTAAAACTATTGTTTCAACGTGTATGACAGTTTTTCGGAAAAACTTCTTACAGCCGAATACGACAGGCGTCATTCCAGCGGGCAGATACAGAAAGTGAACATATATTCGCGTAAAGCTCTACAGTGGTTGGTATGGAAGGAGCGCGAGCTCGGTCATCCGAGCGTAAGAGCGACCGTCGAATCGGTCCAGAGATGGGTTGGCGCGGTTTGTAGTTCAAGCACTTCGCGAATTTTGAGAACTTGACGCACGAGCAGCACTGCGGCTGAGAGTTCGAGACGCGGTATAGTCATTCGTTTGAGAGGGGCAACTTTAGTCTTTGAGCAAATGAGTTTTATTTGAGCGTCGTCGATGTCACTGAGAACGCGGAGATAAACGACCGCGGCGAGTGCACTTTGAGATGCGTCCGCGAAACCGTGCACTTCCACGGCGAGATTCGAAGAACTTGTTCCAAACCAACGCGAGATAGCGAGACGAGAGATGCATGTGAGTTGAGCGACGTAGCTTGTCCATCGTGACTTTAAATCTTCCGGGAGTTCGTCGTCCCAGTCGAGACGTATGGCCCACAGTTCTTGCATGAACAGCTTTGCGGTAACTGTGATAGGCGTAATCCATCCGAGTGGATCAAACATGCGTGCGATAAGCGATAGCACTGAGCGTTTTGTAACGCGATTTTTCGAGATCGTGAGCGACGGCGGAGAAAACACGAAACTGTCTGATTTGCGTTCCCAACGCACACCGAGAGTATGATGTATCGCACTGTCGTTGACCGAGAGCGTAGGAGATGTTTCGCGATCGCAGGCAGGGATATCGTCGAGCAGATTTGAGTCGTTAGCGATCCATTTTCGGAGCGTAAAGCCGCCCGCCGTGAGAGTGGTTCTTAGTTGCGAGATTTTTTCTTTCGCCTGAGAGATGCTTTCGTCGCCGGAGAAAATATCATCGACGTATGTGTCGCGACGAAGAGTTTCGGAAGCGTGAGGGCGAGTCGAATCGTAATCGAGAGCGAGTTGCCGTAAACAGCGTAGCGCGAGATATGGAGCACACGCGAGGCCGTACGTTACGGTACACAATGCATATTCTTGAGGCCTTTCGTCGAGAGAGTCCCGCCAAAGAATTTTCTGTAACGGCCAATCATCCTCGTGCACGCGAATCTGCCGATACATTTTCTCGATATGGCCGCGAACACGTATCGATGCCGTCGCCAACGGATGAGGATGTCCGCGAGATCCGTTTGTAGTTTCGGCCCGACAAGGAGATACTCATTTAACGACAAGCCGAGATTTGTTTTTTGCGATCCGTTAAACACGACGCGCAGTTTTGTTGTCGTGCTAGTTTCACGCGTAACACCGTGATGCGGTAGAAAAAAACTCGCGAGATTGGGCGCGGTTTGATGCGACGGGACGCATGTGATCGAGAGAACGATACTCACGTAAAAAGTCGATATACTGGATTTTGAGCGATGGATTCGTTTCGAATCGTTTTTCCATGCGATACAACGCCTTGAGTGCGATAGAGCGAGAGTCACCAAATTCACTAACACTCTTCTTGAGAGGCAAGCGTACAACAAATCGTCCGTTGACGTCGCGAGAATGAGTCATGTTGAAATGTTCTTCGCACTGAGATTCTTCTGGAGACATTGAGATTTGAGAGGCAGGCGCGATTTCTTCTTGTGTCCAGAAGCGTTGAAGGAGCTCCAGGAGCTCAGAGTCGAGAGAGCACTGAAGACCGATGACGGAGTTGTTTTCCATGGCGTTGGTCTTCTGATTATCATTTGAGAGGGGCCCTGATAGCACCCATCCGAGAGTCGTTTCTTGAGCGATGGGTTCGCCGATATTTCCTCGACGAATACCGTCTTTGAGTATTTGAGCGTGCACCGTTACACTTAGTATGAGATCGATTTTTTCGGGCGTGGCGAAGTTTGGATCCGCGAGCTCAAGACCTTGTATGTGCGGCCACTGAGTATATTCGACACGCGCGGGAGGCAGATAGGACGTTAATTTCGGCAGTACGAGAGCATCGACTTCGAGAGAACTGTCTTTATGCACTTGAGATATCACTTTGAGACAGACGAGTCCGTTTGATATGCTTGAGCGATGAGCTCCGATGCCGAGAATCGGAATAGCCGCCGCTTGACGCGAGAGTTTTAATAATTGGGCGACCGATTCCGAGACAAACGAGACTTCCGATCCTTGATCGATAAGAGCGCGCACTTGATAGATATCTCCGGTTGATGACACTACGTTTACGAGAGCTGTGGCTAATAGAACCGGAGTGCGACGGATTATCCGCGATTGAGCGACGTGACTTGATGTCACGGAGTTTGAGATTTGCTCGGTATTCCGTAGAGGAGCAACAGATTCGTGTGGCGGAATACCTGCAGTATGAATTGCCGGCGGAGACGATGTGATTGCCTTGACGACAGGCGTCGACGAGTCTGAGTGTGCAGCTGATGCACCGATCGCTGCGTTACCGGCTTGATAATGTAACGTGGAGTGATGTTGCTTGTGGCAGAGACGACAGCGTTTTGTTGAGCGGCATGATTTTATCTGATGAGGCCCGAGACAATTAAAGCAGAGATTTTTCGAAATTATTACTTCCTTTCGCTGCATGGTGTCTTTTCGAGATACTTTGGACACGAGGCAATGTAATGTCCCGATGAACACAACGCACACTTTTGATCAGTCACAGTAGCGGTATATGCCCGAGCGTGAGCTGGAGATCGAGGTGCACTTGCGTTTTGTTTCCGAGAATTCGTTGTTCGTTCGAAGGCTTCGAGAGTGAGAATACGACCGAGAAGAAATTTCTCGAAGTCGGCGAACGATGGTGGTTGCGAGGTGGCTCCGAGTGATTTTTCCCACTCCTTAACAGATTCGACATCTAGTTTGCGCACTGTCATAAAGATGAGAATGATGTCCCAGTGATGAACCGGGCAGCCCAATGTAGCGAGGGCTCCGATTGCTTCCTTCAATTCGCAGAGAAGGCGTTTCACTTCCGATGCACATTCGGATTTCGCCTTGCGAATCGAAAACAGAGCGGAGAGCTGAGCCTCTATCAGGATACGCTTGTTGTCGTAACGGTCAATAAGAGTATCCCATGCGCGATTGAATCCTTCACTTGATATCTCAACGCCTTTCAAGAGAGTAGCCGGTTCATCCGATAGGCTCATCTTTAAATAATGAAGCTTTTCGACTGCAGAGAGATCGGTATTCGCGTTGATCATAGAAGCAAAGAGATCTCGGAAATGATTCCACTGTGAATATTCGCCGTTGAATTTTGGTAAATCGATGCGAGGCAAACGTCGAGAATGTGATGCGGACGATGAGTTCATAGAAATTTCGGCTGATGTATTCTGTTGAGGTGGTGCAAAACTGTCGAGGATAGTGAGCATAGTGCCTTGCGCTTCGGCAAATTTCTCTTCGCATTGCTCGTAGATTTTATCGACAATGTAGTCCAGCTTCTTTAATTCTGACGATTTCAGCTTGTATAGATTTTCGTGTTGAGCCTGGAATTTTTCCCAATTTGCCTTTAAAATTGTTAGACGACTTTGCACCGCACCACGGGTGGTCTTCGAAGGACCGAGCTTTTGTAGGTTCTCGCAAGCGCGAGCGATGAGGCCGAAAAGTTCATGCTGGCGATCGAGAAGGGCTTCGAGAGTCATCCTGCCGATTATAGATGATGAGAAGTTCGAGATTCAATGCACACAATCACAGTTGCACCTTGAACGAGATTGATGTGTCACTTTTGATCGCGGTGAGAGATATTCAACACTATTGTCACGCGCGGTATAGAAAGATGCGAGTAGTTCTGAAAGATAGAGAGTCGATAAACGCGACGAATCACTTTCCGAGAGTTACGTAAATCTCGAGAATTTCGGTTAAAGGAGAGCGCGAAAATACGCCCGCGATCCGCGAATCCGTCTCGAAGGACCAAAAAATGTTGAGAGATACGCGTGATCCGGCACTGGCGACGTCGAAATCTTGAGATTATTAGGAAAGTAATTAGAGGAGAACTTGTCGTGGATATCGATTTATTCTTTACGAACGCTGAGAGACGACTGGACTGTCCGCAGACGGCAAGCCGTGAATTTTTTGACAAACAGGTATGAAGAGGGGGTTGACAAACAGTTTGAGAGATTTATAATATCTCATGTACAGATAAAGAGAGAGTGTACACAGAAATGTAGAGGACACATGATTCCTTTGTAATACGAACGCGAAGTCGGCGCGAAAACAACAAAAAGGTGCGCAAATAAGAACGCGGAGAACAGTATCCATAGAATTTAACTTGATAACATTTACAGACAATATTTGCTTGACGTTCGAATTTACCGTTCGTGACTTTACTAAATTTTCGAAGCAAATATTACTAAACATGACGATACACCGTGATCTTAAAATGGATATAATTTTATTACATTATTGTGTCGAAACATTCCGCCCGCCTTGTCTACTCGGAGTAGACAAAGTATCGAATTAAGATATACGAGCGGTTAGCGCAGAGTATTGGTTTAGTCTATTGAGTTTCGATCGGCAGCAAACACAATTTCACTATAGGTCTCTTAACACTTGAGGTAGCTGTTTTCACTGTGGCGACTCGAATAAGTCCGTCGACTCCAGGGTGCACGTCAGTAATGCGTGCGAGAGGCCACTTAGTTGGAGGAAATCGTTCGTCCTTGATTAGAACGAGAGCGCCTTTTCGAAAGGCATCTTGAGGTCGATATTGTTTTCGAGGTAGTCTGTAGCTGCTGTAAATATTCTGACGACCATCGTTGCCAGAATGATTCCTTCATACACTGCAATAGTTGCCAACGTGACAACCGGTTTTGAGGTACCTCTTGAAGCGAAGGTTCCGGCACGGTAGCGAGAGTGGACCCGACGAGAAAGTGCCCAGGCGTGAGAGCGGTAGAGTCCGACGGATCATCTGAGAGTGCAGTGAGCGGGCGAGAGTTCAGAATCGCCTCGATTTGCACCAAGAGCGTTGTCAGTTCTTCATAGGTGAGGCGAGCGTCGCCGAGAACTCGCCGCAAGTGAAATTTGACGGATTTCACCCCAGCTTCCCATTTCCTCCAAAATGGGGGGCGGAGGGTGGATTAAAACTCCACTTCACTCCGTCATTTGCGAGAATGTTAGCGATGTGAGCCCACTCGCGAGAAGATGCCGTGAACATCCGTTTGAGTTCTGCGTCGGCACCGATCAAATTCGTGCCACAATCACTAGTCAAAGTAGAGCATATGCCTCGCCGTCCGGTAAATCGCCTGAACGCCGCCAGAAAGCCGTCCGTAGAATAGTCAGTCGCGACTTCCAGATGTATCGCAGACGTACTGAAACAAACGAAAATGATGAAATATCCCTTGTACGTTCTGCAGCCTCGTCCGCGAAAAGTTTTGAGAGTCAGTGGCCCGGCATAATCGACGCCAGAGTTGAAGAACGGTCGGCGCGGAACGACTCGTGATGCTGGAAGCTGTCCTACAGCTTGTTGACCAGTAGTAGCACGATGACGAGCACAAATCACGCACTTGTGGATGAATGCTCGGATAGGAACGCGACCGCCGATTATCCAAAACCTTTGACGAATCGATGATAACGTTAACTGAGGTCCGCCGTGGAGAGTCTTTCGATGATGATGATCCATCACGAGAATGGATAATCGACATTGTCGAGGTAAGATCAGAGGATGTTTTTCTTCTGGATCTAGTTGTGACCGGAATAAACGTCCGCGTAAACGCAAAAGTCCTTCGTTGTCGAGGAATGGCGTTAGACGATAGAGAGAGCTCGAGGTTGAGAGTGATCGTTGGCTCTTCAAGGTTTTGATTTCGGAGGAGAAGTAAATTTGCTGCGTGAGTTTAACCCACAGCATTAGCGCTGATTCTAACTCTTCGACGGTGAGAGGCTCGTGAGATGAGCGTGATGCGACAGATTTCCGAAAGAGTTGAAGAGCACGCTGGACCCAGGCGGTAGTTCTGATGAGGGTCGTCAGCGATGAGTATCGATCGAGCATCGAAAGTTTATGTTCATGATGTTCCACTGCAGTTGTACACTGCGGAGGCCGTTCTTCGAGGTTGTCCGTAGACTCGAGAATCGGAATTGAAGACGGCCAAGATGTCGAATGCGTATGTAACCAACGAGGACCGGTCCACCAGAGCTCGTTTTGTTGAAGACGTTGAGGAGTCACGCCTCGTGATGCTAGATCAGCGGGATTCTCCTTCCCGGAGACGTGATGCCATCTAGAATTTGAGAGCTCTTGAATAAAGGAGACACGATTCCGTACGAAGTCTTTCCACCGGGATGGATGACTTTTGATCCACGTAAGAGCGACCGTCGAATCGGTCCAGAGATGGGTTGGCGCGGTTTGTAGTTCAAGCACTTCGCGAATTTTGAGAACTTGACGCACGAGCAGCACTGCGGCTGAGAGTTCGAGACGCGGTATAGTCATTCGTTTGAGAGGGGCAACTTTAGTCTTTGAGCAAATGAGTTTTATTTGAGCGTCGTCGATGTCACTGAGAACGCGGAGATAAACGACCGCGGCGAGTGCACTTTGAGATGCGTCCGCGAAACCGTGCACTTCCACGGCGAGATTCGAAGAACTTGTTCCAAACCAACGCGAGATAGCGAGACGAGAGATGCATGTGAGTTGAGCGACGTAGCTTGTCCATCGTGACTTTAAATCTTCCGGGAGTTCGTCGTCCCAGTCGAGACGTATGGCCCACAGTTCTTGCATGAACAGCTTTGCGGTAACTGTGATAGGCGTAATCCATCCGAGTGGATCAAACATGCGTGCGATAAGCGATAGCACTGAGCGTTTTGTAACGCGATTTTTCGAGATCGTGAGCGACGGCGGAGAAAACACGAAACTGTCTGATTTGCGTTCCCAACGCACACCGAGAGTATGATGTATCGCACTGTCGTTGACCGAGAGCGTAGGAGATGTTTCGCGATCGCAGGCAGGGATATCGTCGAGCAGATTTGAGTCGTTAGCGATCCATTTTCGGAGCGTAAAGCCGCCCGCCGTGAGAGTGGTTCTTAGTTGCGAGATTTTTTCTTTCGCCTGAGAGATGCTTTCGTCGCCGGAGAAAATATCATCGACGTATGTGTCGCGACGAAGAGTTTCGGAAGCGTGAGGGCGAGTCGAATCGTAATCGAGAGCGAGTTGCCGTAAACAGCGTAGCGCGAGATATGGAGCACACGCGAGGCCGTACGTTACGGTACACAATGCATATTCTTGAGGCCTTTCGTCGAGAGAGTCCCGCCAAAGAATTTTCTGTAACGGCCAATCATCCTCGTGCACGCGAATCTGCCGATACATTTTCTCGATATCGGCCGCGAACACGTATCGATGCCGTCGCCAACGGATGAGGATGTCCGCGAGATCCGTTTGTAGTTTCGGCCCGACAAGGAGATACTCATTTAACGACAAGCCGAGATTTGTTTTTGCGATCCGTTAAACACGACGCGCAGTTTTGTTGTCGTGCTAGTTTCACGCGTAACACCGTGATGCGGTAGAAAAAACTCGCGAGATTGGGCGCGGTTTGATGCGACGGGACGCATGTGATCGAGAGAACGATACTCACGTAAAAAGTCGATATACTGGATTTTGAGCGATGGATTCGTTTCGAATCGTTTTTCCATGCGATACAACGCCTTGAGTGCGATAGAGCGAGAGTCACCAAATTCACTAACACTCTTCTTGAGAGGCAAGCGTACAACAAATCGTCCGTTGACGTCGCGAGAATGAGTCATGTTGAAATGTTCTTCGCACTGAGATTCTTCTGGAGACATTGAGATTTGAGAGGCAGGCGCGATTTCTTCTTGTGTCCAGAAGCGTTGAAGGAGCTCCAGGAGCTCAGAGTCGAGAGAGCACTGAAGACCGATGACGGAGTTGTTTTCCATGGCGTTGGTCTTCTGATTATCATTTGAGAGGGGCCCTGATAGCACCCATCCGAGAGTCGTTTCTTGAGCGATGGGTTCGCCGATATTTCCTCGACGAATACCGTCTTTGAGTATTTGAGCGTGCACCGTTACACTTAGTATGAGATCGATTTTTTCGGGCGTGGCGAAGTTTGGATCCGCGAGCTCAAGACCTTGTATGTGCGGCCACTGAGTATATTCGACACGCGCGGGAGGCAGATAGGACGTTAATTTCGGCAGTACGAGAGCATCGACTTCGAGAGAACTGTCTTTATGCACTTGAGATATCACTTTGAGACAGACGAGTCCGTTTGATATGCTTGAGCGATGAGCTCCGATGCCGAGAATCGGAATAGCCGCCGCTTGACGCGAGAGTTTTAATAATTGGGCGACCGATTCCGAGACAAACGAGACTTCCGATCCTTGATCGATAAGAGCGCGCACTTGATAGATATCTCCGGTTGATGACACTACGTTTACGAGAGCTGTGGCTAATAGAACCGGAGTGCGACGGATTATCCGCGATTGAGCGACGTGACTTGATGTCACGGAGTTTGAGATTTGCTCGGTATTCCGTAGAGGAGCAACAGATTCGTGTGGCGGAATACCTGCAGTATGAATTGCCGGCGGAGACGATGTGATTGCCTTGACGACAGGCGTCGACGAGTCTGAGTGTGCAGCTGATGCACCGATCGCTGCGTTACCGGCTTGATAATGTAACGTGGAGTGATGTTGCTTGTGGCAGAGACGACAGCGTTTTGTTGAGCGGCATGATTTTATCTGATGAGGCCCGAGACAATTAAAGCAGAGATTTTTCGAAATTATTACTTCCTTTCGCTGCATGGGTGTCTTTTCGAGATACTTTGGACACGAGGCAATGTAATGTCCCGATGAACACAACGCACACTTTTGATCAGTCACAGTAGCGGTATATGCCCGAGCGTGAGCTGGAGATCGAGGTGCACTTGCGTTTTGTTTCCGAGAATTCGTTGTTCGTTCGAAGGCTTCGAGAGTGAGAATACGACCGAGAAGAAATTTCTCGAAGTCGGCGAACGATGGTGGTTGCGAGGTGGCTCCGAGTGATTTTTCCCACTCCTTAACAGATTCGACATCTAGTTTGCGCACTGTCATAAAGATGAGAATGATGTCCCAGTGATGAACCGGGCAGCCCAATGTAGCGAGGGCTCCGATTGCTTCCTTCAATTCGCAGAGAAGGCGTTTCACTTCCGATGCACATTCGGATTTCGCCTTGCGAATCGAAAACAGAGCGGAGAGCTGAGCCTCTATCAGGATACGCTTGTTGTCGTAACGGTCAATAAGAGTATCCCATGCGCGATTGAATCCTTCACTTGATATCTCAACGCCTTTCAAGAGAGTAGCCGGTTCATCCGATAGGCTCATCTTTAAATAATGAAGCTTTTCGACTGCAGAGAGATCGGTATTCGCGTTGATCATAGAAGCAAAGAGATCTCGGAAATGATTCCACTGTGAATATTCGCCGTTGAATTTTGGTAAATCGATGCGAGGCAAACGTCGAGAATGTGATGCGGACGATGAGTTCATAGAAATTTCGGCTGATGTATTCTGTTGAGGTGGTGCAAAACTGTCGAGGATAGTGAGCATAGTGCCTTGCGCTTCGGCAAATTTCTCTTCGCATTGCTCGTAGATTTTATCGACAATGTAGTCCAGCTTCTTTAATTCTGACGATTTCAGCTTGTATAGATTTTCGTGTTGAGCCTGGAATTTTTCCCAATTTGCCTTTAAAATTGTTAGACGACTTTGCACCGCACCACGGGTGGTCTTCGAAGGACCGAGCTTTTGTAGGTTCTCGCAAGCGCGAGCGATGAGGCCGAAAAGTTCATGCTGGCGATCGAGAAGGGCTTCGAGAGTCATCCTGCCGATTATAGATGATGAGAAGTTCGAGATTCAATGCACACAATCACAGTTGCACCTTGAACGAGATTGATGTGTCACTTTTGATCGCGGTGAGAGATATTCAACACTATTGTCACGCGCGGTATAGAAAGATGCGAGTAGTTCTGAAAGATAGAGAGTCGATAAACGCGACGAATCACTTTCCGAGAGTTACGTAAATCTCGAGAATTTCGGTTAAAGGAGAGCGCGAAAATACGCCCGCGATCCGCGAATCCGGCTCGAAGGACCAAAAAATGTTGAGAGATACGCGTGATCCGGCACTGGCGACGTCGAAATCTTGAGATTATTAGGAAAGTAATTAGAGGAGAACTTGTCGTGGATATCGATTTATTCTTTACGAACGCTGAGAGACGACTGGACTGTCCGCAGACGGCAAGCCGTGAATTTTTTGACAAACAGGTATGAAGAGGGGGTTGACAAACAGTTTGAGAGATTTATAATATCTCATGTACAGATAAAGAGAGAGTGTACACAGAAATGTAGAGGACACATGATTCCTTTGTAATACGAACGCGAAGTCGGCGCGAAAACAACAAAAAGGTGCGCAAATAAGAACGCGGAGAACAGTATCCATAGAATTTAACTTGATAACATTTACAGACAATATTTGCTTGACGTTCGAATTTACCGTTCGTGACTTTACTAAATTTTCGAAGCAAATATTACTAAACATTGACGATACACCGTGATCTTAAAA